GGGGGGGGGAGGGGGGTTGCAGCCGTCCAGCCATGGAAATTAGGTCATTTTTCGGGCAAAACGCTCATGATTTGGGCAACGACACTTGAGAGAAAACATTACAGTCAAACCTCAATTATCTGTACCTCGGTTATCCAGATTTCTCGATTATCCGAACTTTTTCTCTAGTCCCAATTTTGTCATGGATATTTATTAGTCATGATTCAAGATCCATAGGAATATTCTTTTTAAAACTATAGCGTTCAAAAGTGCAGTCCAACGCGAGTTTGTTTTGCTTTTAAAGAACAAATGCAGCACTCGCACGTGTCGTAACTAATGAAGAACACTCGAATGAGTTCTGATTGGCTCAGAGGTGAGTGGTTCAAGATGTACAGTAGACCGTATTGTTTTTCAAACCATTTGTAAAAGTGTTGTTTCATGATTAAATGTTAATGTCGTTGTTCCTAGCAAAAGTAAGTTAACTGTCGCGATTTGCAATTCAACCAGAGCTATTAATCAAATTGGAGACACGGTGGCCTCATGGTTAGTGTGCTTGTCTCCGGATACAATTTTTAGAGTCTCGCTGAGGTGTTCAGATGTTTCATCTGTATGGAAAAGCTGAGAGATGCCAGACTTTGCCCTCATTGCTCAAAAATGTGCTGTTTCCTGTGTATAAGGGTAAGCTGTTCTATATTGGTACTTTGGTTAATGTTTTTAACACAGCTGCCTTGGTGGATCATGACTTGTAAAATTAATGTAATCCAAAATAATAGTCGTTTTATATCATTGGGTACATTTATTTATTATTGGGGGCTCAAGTCTACTAGATCAGTTAATTAACAAATTATTTCTTAAGTAACTGATCTATTGCCTAGTGGGCCTGATTACCAGGCACTGTTTAAGAGAGCAGAAGAATGTTTTTTATTGACTTTAACAGAATGTTAGTTTCTTGCAAATTTGTGGGTGCTTCATACTTTGCACTCACAACATTTACAAGTGCCAAGTCAAGAGCTCAACATGAAAAAATTTATTTCTGTCACTGCAAGATAGAGTCCCTAACAATGACTCTGAGTTCTATGGAGAACCACCTTAAAACAACTGTGTAGCATGCTAATGTATTTAGAACTACAGAAATCATTGACGCTTCTTGTCTCGTGTTTCTTCAACTCTGGCTACATGTATATGAAGTAGATTTTCTACTTCAATCAGGATTTTTTTTTTGAATATATGTTCACTTCAACAGACATGTCCACTTTGATTATGTTGATAAGGTTAAGATTTGCATTGTGGTCTATTGAAAAGCAATCACTAATGAAAATTCTTTTTTTGAACTATTTTATCTGTGTGAAGTGTTCAATTACCCCCAGGGGTTATGGCTAAAAGTGTTCAATTCTCAGATTTTGAGTACACATTATGAGTTGAATTAACTTATGCAAATTTTCTGAATCTTTAAATAGATACAGTTTGGACCTTAGGTAATCCAGGTGTTTTTCAATAATTATCATGATGGTTTCATCACAATCAACTTTTATCTTTTCTGTTCAAATCAGTAATGTGACAGGTTTGACTTATTTTGCAGATTGAACCTTCTAGCAAAATAAATTCAAAAAACAGTGAGATAGCTCTGCTTGAAAACCATGTTTACAACCTGAATATTGGGATTTGCTATGCATGGTATTGTAATTTTAAAATAATGATTTGACTATACTATTGTGAGTCTGGCACCAAAATCTACATGGACAACGCGCAAGTAACAATCCATGACCTCTCTAAGTTATATTCACACGGTCAAGCTTTTTAGATGATGTGCCATTTATGTTGAAATACACATGGAATTCAGGATGATATTTAAACGTGTAGCTGTAAGTTGCTATTATTTATAAATTGAGTGTCTGCTTTAAGATATTTAAATTCAAACATGTTTTTCAGTTAGTTTAACATTGATCAGTCCAACAGAGACGTGTGAGATGACCAGTGTTATCATGTGCACTACACTAGTTATCAATTCTAGAGGTAGAAATATGAAATGAATTTCTTATTTTACGTATTATTACTGCTAGACCGTGCTTTAAGAGTTGTGCTTGCTTGAAATGAAAAAAAGGCATGCAGTTTTTCAGCCAAAATTGAAAAAAGAGCTCTACAGACTTTGAAATGTCAATGTCTGCTTAGAAATATATATTTAAAAAAAATGGAGGAAACAGAATTACAGTACATGGAATGCACAGGAAATGCTCTTTTAAGTATATAGTTAATATTTTCATGTTGAACAATAATTTTGAGTGATAAAATATGAATTCTGTTCTTGGCGTGATCAATACCACTCATTTGTAATATTGTCTGATCCATAGCGATGGCTCACAGAACAAAGACCTCAGTGCCCACATTGCAGGTTAAACTAATTTAAGTTTGTTGTAACTTTTTTCTGTTTCGAGATTTTGTTACAAAGCATTTAAAACTGGAATAACATTGAGCTTGTGTTTTTGTGAGGTGATTCACCCTCAGCTGTATCAAATCAATACAGGTGACAGGTGATTTAAAAAAAGAATTAAAAGTCTTAAATTACCTGACAGTGTAAACCATCAAACATATTGCATTGCAACCCGTTACTAGACTGCAAGTACAGTAGGGACTTCTTTACTCCTGATTATTTAGTAGGATACCTAGTGTATCATTGTGCAAATGAGCATTCAAGGAATTCCTACACTCAGGTTCTTTTCTTACCAGTAAAGATAACTGTAACAGACACTGTAACAATAACTGTGGATGCACTATGCCCCCTATGAGACAAAGATGACTTGTTGATGAAAGAGAAAGACTACAGATTGAAACTTCTACAGATTTCTTATTTCAAAATACAGTATGCAGTAGTTTTCTTTTACTTTTCATTACAGAGCCTCTTTACATCTCCATGAACTTGTCCATTGTCGATGGGTTGAAGAAGTTACACAGGTTTGCTCTTTATATGTTCTCATACAGTGACTTTTTTAATTTGTTTCTTAATCTTAATTCATTTTCAAATAAAATAGCTTTTAACATAAGATCACCGTTTACTATGTAGACATTAGTGTTTTACTGGAAAATGCTTGTACACTACTCATAAAATTCATACAAAGCTACATGTACATCTGGGACTTGAGTGGCATATTTTTCATATCCTCACTAGTGTTATGGTGTTAATTTGCTTGGTTTCTATACTATTTGTTTTGTTCTATACTGGTAGGTATGATGCTTATGTAATAAGTTATGTAATCATCCCAGAGCATAACTCTTAAAAGATTCATCTAGCATGCTTTCAAAGTGTATTGAACAAGTTAAGTTTAGAGTAACATTAAAGTTTGTTATCTGTCAGCCATTTTATTCACGGAGTTTATTTATTTATGTTTGCACACAACAACTGGCGATGAGAAATACCTGGTGAGGAGGAACAACAACTGGAACAAGCAGCCCAGCCCATCAGTTCGCAATGAAAATTTTTTATGGCCCAGACAATTTTTCCTGACGTAGGCGATTTTTTCCATTAATGTTGACCCGTCCATTAAGCCTTATGAAAGATGTGGTTTAAGTCATAAATTAAATGTTATATGCCAGCTTGGAGGTCTGTATGGTGAAATACTGTGACCAAGGTCTTTACAAGCGTGAGGTCACAGTTTTTCACTGTACGGACCGCCCTAAGCCGGCAAATAACATAATTATTTCTTTTTTTCCTGTGGTAAATTGGCTTACAAGTGGGTTTGTTTCCACAACTTTGTCATTGAATTGGCTTATGTGCCGTCTACAAACCATTCTTAAAAAATCTAACNTAACTAGAGGAAACGGGGTGTGTGGCCCATTTGAAAAACATACAAACAAGTTCCTCAGGTGCTGGGATGGAATTTGTGCACCGAGTAGAAGATTTCCTCTTTCGAATGTTGGAGATGACATTTTGGGGGTAATTGTTAGAATGCAGAGCATCGGTGACATGATTAATTTCCTATTTCCCTTTGTTAGTAAATTGGCCGTTTAGGTGAATAAAATAACAATGGCCAGATAAATAATAGTTTTGTCTAATGCTACATATCAAATGAGTGTACTTATTAGTTTGTATGGTATACCCAGAGACAACATTGTATGTCTGTGATTCTGAATGAATTAAAATTTTAATACATCTCATTAACTGAATGATTATGAAACTGTATTTCAGATGTGACATCCATCACGAGAAACTCAGTGTTTTCTGCAGCACTTGCAAGCAATGTATCTGCCATCAGTGTGCCCTGTGGGGTGGAACAGTAAGTTTACATAACTACATCCTGCTACTGTACTGACACTACTCTTTTTACATAATATGGAACATATATGTGTAACTACAGTTTGCTATATTACTACAGGCTGTTTTTTTTTTTTCGGTTAAATGCATGACATTTTAACCCACGGGTGTTGTGACTTTTAATCAATTACTATGCATTAAGGGTTTCATTTTTTCCCAGTCTTATGATGTTTCTGGACTAGATGAGCGTTACGTTTTCTAGGATATGCCAAAGAGCTCCTGGAAGAGGCCAGGCTTGGTGGCCCAATGGTTAGCGCACACAACTCCATGATTGTCAAGCTGTCTAGGTTCAATCCAAGCCATGTCCATGATGCCTTGGCTGTAACTTTTTTCTGAATAATACAATAACTATCTGTTATACGTGTATTTTTAGCACTCTGGCCACACTTTCAAGCCTTTGGATGAAGTGTATGACCAACATGTGTCCTCTATCACAGATGAGGTACTGTAGTTGCAAAATGTCAAGTAAAATAATGTACAGTTCCAGAAAATATCCATACTCCCCTCACAGAGGGGATTGCAATTTCCAGAGGGGTGGGGGTGTCTTCAAAAAAATCCCTTTTTATGGGGGAGGTATGGATATTTTTGAGAAATACACAATGTGTTACAGAGCATTTCAAAAACTTTTGACAAACGGTTTCCGAAGTTCGTTTGAAATTCTCCAAGGTCGCTTTGAACTTGGCAATTCCATTACATAGTTGCCAATCANACTTGATGTTGCGGCACTCAAGATGTTTTATTTTAGCACTGAGGTCTTCCAGATTCTTTGCGTGGGTTTCTAGTGTTGCACACGTGGCGGTTGAAGATGAATTTAGGTCGTCGATGTTGGCTTGAGCGGTGTTCAGGCTTTCTTGTAAACTTTCATTTTCTTTTTCCAATTCTGCCACTCTACCTTGCATAGCCTCTAACTCGCCGAGTCTTGTTAGCACTTTGTCGAGCTTTCCACTGACTTCATCTAGTTTGGCAAAAGCCCCACAACAATGGCCGTCGGCTTCGTCGAACGCATCTTCCCCGTCAGTCATGTCAATGTTATTATTATTATTATTGTTATTATTACTATTATTATTATTATTATTATTATTATTATTATTATTATTATTATTATTCATTGTGTTATACCAGTGAACTTGCTTTCTAATGGATTGAAATTATCCCTCTCCATCCAGGAACGCAATGTTGAAAGTTTACGTGAAGCTAAAGAAGAGGTATCTAATGAAAATAAACATTTGCAGTATTAATTGTGTTTGTTTTTAACTTTAATCATTTGTCAACATTACTGTCAGTAATAATTATTATTATTTCCTTCCTTATTTGTGCAGCGTGTTCGTGAAATTCGGAATGCAGTTGAGTTGATGATAGCTCGATTAGATACTCTGCTGAAGAGTAAACTACTAACTCTTATGGGTGAGTTATATATTACCAGTAAATGAGTGGAAAGTGTTACCTGCATATCTACGAGGTATGTGTTTAATCAAGTCACGGTGGTGATCTTGTTCCTGAAGATTATTGAAGCTATGAAAAAACACTGACAGCTGTAAGCTAATATCAAGAAAACCTTGCAGAAGTAGAGCAATAGCAAAGTCAAAGTTCCCTACAATAGCCACCCTGGGGACTGTTCAACGAGCTGTCATAAACCAGCTGTTGTAGAAAGATGAAAATTTCATAATTTGAAAATTAAACATTTTGTTAATTTTGTAGTGCATGCACATGCAGTTAATAGAGAATTCAAAGAAACATACAGTGGAATCCTGATTTCTCAAATACTCAATTTTGTTAACCTCCCTTTATCTCGAACTAAAAGTTGTTTCCCCTCTCCAGTTGAACCCTGTAATTTTACCCCCGATTTCTCGAACTCCCGGATTTTTCGAACCAATTTTCGTTTCCCTTGGAGGTTCGAAAAATTGGGATTCCACTGTATAACAAACCAGGGTGATGGTTTGTAAATTAAAGCAAAATTATGGCAATAATTAAAGCAAAGTGAGTCTTTCTCAATTTAAGTACCACTGGGGACACAAGCAGTTCAGAGACTGTTTTTGTGCAATGGCAAAGAAGCAAAATCTAGGCTGATAGCTTAATTAAAAAAATGTATGAAATAACCTTGGATTAAAGCAGTCTTGTTTCTAACAGTTTTTCCTTCCGTGGCTATTGTTGGGAGGTTTCTTTTTTGGGGGTGGGGAGTGAGGACCTTTTGCTGGCTTTGCCATAATGTCACAAAGTGACTGTTGCAGCATTTTTCAATGAAGAGTAAAAGCTGGCCAGAACAAAATAGCTTGTTGTTGCAGACCGGTGGAGTGGTTAGCCGAGATTCAACATACTTTATAATCAATGAACACTGGCGAGTGTCTATTCACAGTACCCAATACAGAAAAGAGATTGATTGTGATGTTGGTCTTGCTGATGTTTATTTATGAAACATCAAGAAAACTAAATTATGGCATGGAATTGCTGCCTTTCCAGTTTGCTTAGCTTATATTTTACACATAAATCTTATCAACATAGTTCTCTAAGTGACAACATGTTTAATTTGTTTAACTCTTTTTTTACAAACAGGACAAAAAAACTCACTGACTCAGGAAACAGAATTGTTGGAATCTTTGTTACAGGAAGTGGAGCATCAGGTTTGTTAAATTCTGGTTAGAATTGCATAGCTCAGAGAATTCTCACACCTGATTGGTTACCTAGGCTAGGTATTCAGCGTGGAATTGTGACTCTTGAAAGCAAGGCTTTGCACGAAATTGAACTTGAGTGACAACAAAACAACAACTCAAAAACAGTTAGAAACAATGACCTTTTAATGTTTTCAAAACCATTGTTGCCGTACATGAAGCCAAAAACAAACACGTTTGTCTTTTGGAAATGGAAGTCAATTTTCTCCCTCCTTTGACCTGAAGTACAACTTTCTGTAGAGATATGGCTTTTCTTGAGCACACATTGGATTTTGCAACATTCACACAGATGTAAATAAAACAAGGTTTTCTTTCAATTAAAAAGAAGGCTGTGCGATTCAATTTAATATCATAACCTGACTCGTGAATTCCATGTTAAATTTCATTTGAAAAACTGATATCACACTCATCGCTTTGCAATTCATACAATATTGTTTTTTTTTTTGTGTGAAATTTAACGTGGAATTCATGAGTCAAGTAATGAACTTTCCTATAGAATACAGCATATTATTGCACACCATACACGTACATTGTATTGGTTGAATTTTTCATGTAATGGCTTTTATTATAGACTGACCATAGATTATGTGCATTGTGGGAAGTATATTTTACAACATGCCTAAGTTTTGATATCATGAGAACTGGGTTGGGTAGAAAGAGAGGAGAAAATACCATGGGTGAATGACCATTGACAGTTACAGCCTGTTGTTCGTATGAGGCCAGATATGAATCTTCCAATCAAAATTTCATTCATCTCTCTCACTTTGAGTAATTGTAGTCTTCATCTGAGAAATAGAATTGAAGAATGTAAGATTGAAACAAAAATGAACTTTATAGACTGAATTTTTTTTTAAGAGGGAGTTGATTGTAACTATAGTTACATAAAGTTGTGAAATGTAATTCACGTGGTTGTCAGCCCTGTGCATTGCATGATAAGTAATTTGATTAGTGAATACAGATGGTGAATTTTAAGCTTGGTAAATATGAACTCAATTAAATGACCTTGCTCTCCATGAGTTCTCGTAGCTCAGTGGATAGCATGTCTGCCCTGTGTGTCATGTTGATCAGTTCACCTTTCAAAAGTAATTAATTTCTTTCATTTTAAGAGGGGTCTGGTTGCTTGTGGTACTATCAATATGTTGACTACAGTTGATGTATTTTAATTAGCCATTTGTAAAACTCCACAAAAGGTTTAATCAGTTTTTGATTTGTGTGAAATCATGGATGTCATTATTTCAGCAGCTGGAAACTGAATGTATTTTTTTTTTCTTAAGCTCCATTCATGCTCCAGAAGTGAACTTATTGCCAAAAGTGGTGAACTTTTGCAGATGTTTAATCAGGTATGGTGAACACAAGCCTTGGATTCACTCAACTTACATTGGCTTAACTTCCTTAGCTATTGTGGATCTTGTGATCAACAAGAAAAATGGACTGAATTCTTTCTACACATCTCACGAGAAGCTAAAGAATTGGTTCATATGTAGTGTACATGTATCGAGTTATGGATGAATGGGGGAAGTTTGCTGAGCATGAGAGAGAAGGGTAAGATTTGCTTGAGGTGCAGCTGCACAAACTCTAGCTTCTTGAGTGCTCTCCTTCAAACTTCCCAGATCTATCCATATAACTCGATATATGCACAGCTAAAAGCACAAACAAATTATTTTGCAACATATTGACAACAACTTGGGCACTAAAACATGTTTTATTTGTGATTGACCGCAAAGTTGTCATGATGAGTGAGTGAAAACAAAGAATTCTATTGGCTTGTTTAAAACACCCCATAGTCAGTTGAACGACTTTTGAGCCAGAATGTTTCATCTGTTTCTAAAATATTGTTAATGGCAATTTTATTTGTAAAATAGAGTTAACAACTTGAAGTGATACGAATATATATGCAATATTTTAGTCATGTAATTATGGCAGCTCAATCAGTGGGTTACCTTCAATAGCTGTAAACACCTGAACTCTGTCACGCAAGAGACACTGTCTTACTGTTATACAGAACTGCTCTAATAATTATTTTTGTGTTAGACTGCTTAACTTGCAAGCCATGCGAAGAATTTAGAATGCGGCAATCGCTTGCTGTAATTGATACAAAGTTATGTCTTACCATACTTTTATCAAAGGTTATAGTTGCTTTTAAATTTTCAGCAATGACAGCCGTGTCGTTTACTATTAATAATGTGCAATGTTTGAAATGCAATTTGATTTTCTTGTTAGGTCCATCGTAAGCCAATGGCATCTTTTGTTAGCCCACCAATACCAGCTGATTTTTCAAGGTAAGTATTTTTGGAATCTTAATTAATGGCATTATTTTCAATTGCTTCTTCCATACCCCTGCAAACAACCCAATCCTTTTGGCTATTAACAGTTGTGTTGGCCTTGCTTAATAACAATATTAGTATTGTCATCCATACTGATCTCATCTTTCTACAGTCGAACCTCCGATTGCAACCACCTCGAAAGCAACCACCTCTCCTCAGCGACCAGTTTTCCAAAATACCAAAAGTTTCCTTGTCAAATCACTATAATTTTATTTGGAACTTCTTATAAGCGACCGCAACCACCTTTAGAGCAAAAAGTTTGAAATTTTCTTTTGTTTTTAACCTCCCGTAAGCAACCACTTGACAAATAATAGGGCAGAAATTGGATGATAAGGTGTTGTAACATTGTTGCATTCCCAACTAGTACTAGGAGTTCGCTTTGTGAATTGAGTGCTGCCATTAGTAGCCTGTTTGTATGTAAATATGACAATGGGAACTTCAACGAAAATATAACTAATTTTATTTCCAAAACAACATGGTTACATGTACTTTGAATGTATAAAAGAGATACGATAACTAATGACTACATATGTCAGTTTTTGGTTTATCTGTTGGTTCCTTGGGTTTATGCTTGTAAGAGTGGACAACAAACATCTCGGTTTATAAAAATGCAACGTGTAACGAACAATGGGTCTTATCATGTATAGGTGAACTGTTTATTAAGGTAATTCCTCTGAAATAAAAGTGACAATAGATTTTTGTTCAAACTTTGTCCACTGAATATTTGTCAAATGATAACTTCAATTTTGAAATA